TGTCCTCATCTCTGCCTCCATCTCTGGTGTTGCTGCAACATGTCTACTTTAAAACACTTTGCGTGAAGTCATGAACTAGGGCAAACAGTGAAGTGGGAGCACTAATGGAGGGAGAATTCCTAGGAGATATGCAGTTCCACGAGACGTCCACTAGAGGGCCGAGTTAATATTTTGTATTTTATTGGTCTGTTCTTATTTGGCATAATGGTTAAGTGCTCTGCTGCCACAGAAAAGGTAAAGCTGTTTAAACCCACCCATAGGTGCCCTCAGAAGTAAGACCTGTTGATCTTCCAAAAGGTCATGGTAACAAACTATGTTGTTTTTGTTAGCTGTCATCGAGTGGATTCTGACCCATAGCTACCCTGTATAGGGTTTCCAAGGAGCAGTTGGTGAACCGCCCACCATGCTGTTCAAAAGGCTTTGCAGTCTGGTACATTAACCCACAGCACCACACCAGGACTCCAATGAACTATAGTTATTGTAAATAATAGGGCTTAAGGTAAATATTGGACTACTGTTGTGATCTGTAGGATAAGTACTGTATTGCAAACCTCAAGGTAGGCAGTTCAAAACCACCAGCCACTCATCAGAAACCCTTAGTGTCCCTATGAGTTGGAACCAACTCTATAGTATTTAACAAGAAGGTAAATATTATGGAGTCCTGGTGTAGCACTGCAAGATAAGCACTTGCTTACTTCAAGGTTGGCAGTTAAAAAACCCAGCAACCACTTCTTAGAAACCCTAGACAGATTCACTATGAGTTCGAACTGAATCAATGGCCCTTAACAACAACAGTAACAAGGTAAATATTAATGTAAATAATCGTGTTTAAAAGTAAAACAAAGAAAGTCTTTTCTTATCTCTGGTGCTGTGGGTTAATGCATTGGTCTGCAAAGTCAGTTTGAACCCCAAGGTTGGCTGTTCTACCACACCAGTAGGTCCTCTGAAACCCTATACAATGTTTCTTTGGGATAGAACTGACTCGACGGCACTTAATGACAACAGTAGTTGACTAGAGCATTTTCTTTCTTGTGTGCTTGTTGTTGTTAGGTGCCATCGAGTCGGTACCAACTCATAGCGACCTTATGCACAGCAGAATGAAACACTGCCTGATCCTGGGCCAACCTCACTACTGTTGCCACGCTTGAGTCCATCAGTGATGTCACTTGGCCAATCCATCTCATTGGGGATCTTCCTCTTTTTCTCTGACCCTCCATCTTAGCAAACATGATATCCTTCTCCAGTGACTGGTCCCTCCTGACACTATGTCTAAAGTATGAAAGATGAAGTCTGGCCAGCTTGGCCTTCAAGGAGCACTCTAGCTGCACTTCTTCCAAAACAGATCTATTGGTTCTTTTGGCAGCCCATGGCACTTTCATTATTCTCCTCCAATACCATAATTCAAATGCATCAATTCTTCTACGGTTTTCCTTATTCAATGTCCAGCTTTCACATGCATATGAGGTTATTGAAAATACAATGGCTTGGGTCAGGCGCACCCTAGTCCTCCAGCTGACATCT